GAAAAGTAATAGCTTTTCAAAGCTTCACGCCGTTTACCAGTTGTTTCTTAGGAGTATAGGCTTTAGACTTGATCGGCACCGTTGAATTACTTGAACTCTACCTACCACCGATTAACCATAGAGGTCAGGTGATCACATGGCTGCTAGCTACCGATGAAGATCAATCCTGCTTAAATACAGAAGCTGGTTTAACTAATTCTTTCGTCCTATGTAGATTTCCAACAAGTGAACTAGGCAAACATAAGCTAGACAAACGCCTCAGACCCTATCAACCAGTGCTTTATGAAGTCTCTTCCAGGATATTATTAGCTAATGGAAACAAATAAGTAACTCTGTGCACAGTGTCAGAAATTCTGCATGTAATGATCTCCAGCTCGTACACAAAAATCATTGGATTTTGAAAGATTTCCCGCCATTCTGCGGTGCGAAACACTGGCTCAGAGCATTATTCGGCTAGATGTTCAGTTAGAAGTCTGTTCAAAAAAACTTGACAGGTAGTATGATGAAGTGGTAAGCAAAAAATGGTGGAAGATAGTTGTCAGGAGCCTATTAAGCCCCTCTGAGCTAATAAGCACAACCTGACACAAAAGATCATTGGAAATTCATTATACACTAAGGACGAGCTGTTAAATTCGCACATAAAATACATCCGGCGATCGTTAAGCAGATTTACATTCGTTTCTTCAAATAAACTCACTTTAATCGGGCTAACTTCTACCAAATTAGACCATCCACTAACTCCTGGAATGCTAAATTATCCATTGTTTTATTAAACGAGCTTTTTTAAACGTTGGTGAGAGCTCTCTTGATCTAAACAAATTATGTGAACTTTTTGGAACTGTGCGGCGTTCCGCAAATATGGCTTCGTCTAACTGAATACCCAAACCGACTCTTCCTATATAACGCAGACTGGTTTCGCTAGAACTGCGGAGTCCAATCATGGTATACTGAAAAGCGACAAACATAACTTGTCCAGATATTATGACCTTACACTTGATCTTTAGGCAGCGCCACATATCATTGACCAAAAGTCGCCGGTTTACTCAATTTTGAGTGACACACAAACTGTCACGGCTATTAGACCACAACACTTACACCCATGGCAGACGTTTGCATCGTTGTTAGCGCCAGGGATTCCCTCCTGGAAAGTTGGTCCGACTGAATGTGAAAGGAATTTGAACCTTGATGCACAGAAAGCTTCGAAATTCCCTCATCAACCGTAGAACACTAGAGGTCTGGCTGATAGTGTCTTAGGGGATCGTCGGGTATGGGGCCTCTAAGGGAAGCATTGCAACAAAACGACAGTCCTGGCATCAGTGAGTTTGTTTGCCCACAGATGTCTAGTGTTTGAGTAACTTACATATGGATAATGCAACCACTGGACACACTGAGATGCACAATGCCAAAAGCATAGAAACTGTATTTAAACTTGACTGAAGTTGATAGCATCAGGATTTGTTATGCGCAAGCGCATCCCAACGTCAAACGATTGGTATGCTGCTGTAATTTTACTGAAATGAAACTGGGACAAACCACCGACCAAAACTTTGGAATTTCTTATCGATGAACGCAAAGCTTGCGAGGATTCTGCCTAAAAGCTCCGATTCGGTCGTCCTGATGTCCACTCCACAAACGGAACTTTCATCAACATAATCGACTCGGTCCGCAAAGATGGTAGTTTCACGGATGTTTTCAATTCACGATATATGGTTCACAAGTTTATGGATCAGAAGGCTGACTATAAAGCACTAACCAAGCTTTAAGTGTTGAAGCAAATCACTCTGTTTTCATGCAAATCCATGAGAAGTTCCCCACAGACTCTCAAACAAGATGTTAATCAGAGAAAGGATATTGTTTTCCGTCATGTATGAATGTGCCGTCCTTGTGGCTGATTGAGTTGCTCTTTAGACTTTGACAAGCTTTCAGTAGCGGATAGCACCATCCTGAGGACCACGATAACCGAGATGTTTGACGGTGTGTCTGAATGTTTTTGAGTTAAAGTATCAGTAATCAATGAGTCTGAGTATTGTGGGCCAGCAAAGATAGATCATGGAGCTGAAATTCCGGTCACAGAAAGACCCTACAATTCACAAATCTGCCTCGCATCTTCCTCTCGACAGAGAATTATTATAACGTATTATTATAAAGCAAATGTAAGTTCAAAACATCTCTAAATTCCAGGAAGAGCAAAGCCGAATTTAGTTCACTTTCAATAAACACGACTGTAGTGTACATTCCATAGATTTACTTGAATAATACAGGACTGTCGGGCAGCAGTAACCCACTACGCATGCTTGTGTTGCAGAAATTTCTTAGATTTTCACTGCCAGGAGGAACGTTTGGATGAAAAACGCAGAACACGTGTGTTATCGGCTCACCTATCATTGTTACATTCGTTTTGCAATGCTTCAGGAGGTAAAGCCCAATTTGTGAACCTAGACGCTGCTTCAACAAGGCCAATCCACATGTGGAAATCGTAAATACCTTGATTCTGGCTAATTCTCGCGAATCTCTATTACAATTAATCGTTTGTTAACTTCACCGTGTATCGAATGGACACAGTTTGTCTAAAGCACTTCATAACCATTTCAGTGACCATAATCACTGTCTGAAAACAAGCAGCTGATTTAGCTGCAAACATTCGTGCACATCAGTTAAAGTGCTGAATTTGTGGTCTCATGTTACACTCCGGTTAACCTTTTACTGGAAAAGATCCAGACCGTCCTGTCACAAGGAGGATTGTACAAGTTACCTATGATTACGTGGCCCATGCACACTGAAACGATCAATCTATTTTGGCAAGCTGCGAGACAATATACAATCATTTTGCTTGTAGCCTTGGCATTTTTATCCAATGTGAAAGGCATGTTTTCCTGACCCAACTGATACACAATGCTATACGAATGATATGTCCCTCACTTAACAATTCACCCAACGAATCTGGAGTAATATCAGTCTCTCTATTCACACAGTGTCTATCAGCCATACATCAGGCTCATCTGAGCGCATGCTTATTTCCGTTTGTTGTTTAGTTATTACCTGGCAAATTTTCGAGGATGAATTGCGTCAAGCAATGGTTTACGAGTTTGGGCGTGGAAGACAGTGTAAGTTTTCGTCTTCTGTAGGGAACGCACCTCCATAAGAGAGCATTTATTTGTCCAACTGAGAGTAACCATTGGTGCATCCTATTTAAACTTGGTATAGGTCATGCATGTTGTGACTAAATCTCTTCTGTACAAAAACAGTGGTGGTATACATGCAGTAAGACCTCTTTGAAGAGGACCCTTTAAACGGATGACTTTTGACTGATATAGATTTTTCGCCGCTGATTCAGTAAAATTCTAGTGCAAACATTAGAATGGCTAACCTACCCATGATCACAGGTTCCACTGAGCAACCACCGATAGGAAGAAGGAACCTAGCTGTAGAGTGATGCAACAATGGATTGCCATCTAATTTGAGTAGAAATGATCATTGACGTACTGTCGGTGAATCATCGGAGGTTTATAGAAGTAATTCTGATACAACTGAGTTGATTTAACACCTGTTCTGTTTGTTCCGCATTCAATGAATTCAATGGCGAGGATATTATAACGTGGTTACCTACCCCAAGCCTTACTAATACGGTGAGGAAGGGAAAAGATCAAAATACGGTTTTGCTGCCCTTGAATCTGTTACCGATCTGTGCATCTTTGGTTATGTACACCGATTTCGACGCAGTCTGAAAGATATACTGAACTTAAACCAGTTTCCGTTTTCACAAGACCGGATTGAAACGCAAAAGAGATACGGAAATGGACTTTTTTGAAAGAACGGTTTTACGTTAAGTGAGAATTCCGGGTGTAAAACCGTGTACATTCAAGTTTGCCAAAAGTACCAACCTTAGAAAAACGAAAAGTACAGCTTCTGAGGATCCGGTACTTTTAAATATAACCTAGTTGGTACATAAAAAGTGGGTCAATAAATAATGTGAATTCATTCCATAAGTTTGGACTTTTCGATTTTGTGCTCTTTTCCACAAAAATCCTTAGTTTTGTACCTTCTAATAGTAACGAACTCAAAAGATGCACCGTACATCATACACCAAGTTCAGTTACTTTTATCTGTTTGACTGCTGAGGATACCATGCATATCATTGAAAACTGAGTCTAAGAAAGCTAATAAAACTTGCCCTGTTGAAGGAGGCTCTAAAACCAACTGCCACGAATGGAAGACAAATAATTTAGGAACACAGCAGGGAACCGTAAAAATTCCCGTACGTTTATACAGACCAGAAAAATCCGAGTGAAATTTGGAAAACCCAAATTCAATATCTTATTTTAGGATCCACCTAATAACGGTCCATTGGAAGGTCTGTCAGTGTTAACGGTACAGTAAAGTGATGGAAAACTTGCCACAGAAAATTGTCTGATTGGAACGGGGTACGCAAAATCTGGGACGTACGTTTGGTTGAGTCGAGTTTAATTGACGGGCACTAACGGCCGAGATAGGGAAATGAGACGATCCAGTTTAAATCATTAGACAAAAATTACTGGTTTTCTCTGGTAAAAACGAATGTTGGTTGTCTAGACAATCTGAGAAAAACTGCTAGAATCAGTGGTTGCCAAAACACAGCAGACAAGAGTATTAACAAACGTTAGTCAAAAATGCTCCTCAGGAACCGATCTTAATTGGATTTCATCATCCACAAAAGTGTTTGCTGATAATGGTGAACGCTGAAGGTAATTTGGCTTTTTGAGGCTCTCGCATATCTGTGTTAAAACCAGAACAAAGAAGATACTCCAGTGATCTAAAGTTTACCACACTATCTCAAAAAGTCGACTGCTTCTGTCCAACCCCCAAAAAGCTGCCATACTCTGTTGAACTCTCTCGATCAATAAAATAAGACTTTAGTAAACATTGCTTTCCGTAGCAACCACTAAATTAAACGTATCTTGTTGTCATTTACCGTTATGTGCGTTAAAATGAGCAACCATTCTACTGTCTAAAGGAACTCTTACTTTTAATTCACTCCGATGTGAATTGTTGCTGCTATCTTGTGGAAGAAGCTTTCTCCCAGAATTTTTCTTTCGTGAGTCACGCGAAGAATCGGTTTCATCATATTTACTGTGCCGATGTTTGTGTGACTTGTACGTCTTCTTTGGAAAGAGAATACAGCCAGGTGTAGCATACAGGTTATCGCCAAGATTGAAATTCCTTCGGATTAGCTCATGCGTTCTTGGCAGCGTCCAGTAATCGAATGTGTACTGCGGGAATTCATTCTGCCGGTATATTAGCCTGTCATCTCTACGGTGCGAGCGCTCGTGTTTGGAAATCCGCCGTAACTTAGATACGTCAGAAACCGAAGAGCCATGTCGGTTTGAAATGACACATCTATCACATTGCAAGTTATTTTCAACCGACTTTGAGAGAGCATATTTTTTTCTGGTTGGAGCAAGATGGCTGTACGAAGACCGGCTATGTATAATTCCTCCATCTGTGATTTCCACCTCATCAGAATAACCATTTTTCTCATCTGAATTATCGTATATACGCCCATTTACGTGCTGCTGTTGTCTTTCAGAATCAATCGACGTAGTTTCACGTACAGTGCTTAGTGAATAGCGCATCAGATCACTCAAATCCTCGACTGAACTTGTCTTGTCAGCTGCCAAACCATAGTCTCCTTCGCCATCTTCCCTCAGCTGCGTCTCCATCGCACTAACATGCGAGACGGGATAGTTTGATGACACTAGTCGCTTTTCTGCAGACGGTTTACAGCTTGCTAGTCTTCCAACAATAGGCTCAACACACACGACGGTATACTACCAATCAGTGGGTAGAAGGGTGACTGTGCCACACAGTGTGCGCTCATCATTGGTCAGAGGCGTGTGTGCTCACGTGAACGTTTATGTTGGCCGATGGTTATTACAGCTATCCGAAACACTCAGACAGACGCGGGATTGAGTCATAGTTTTAGTAACAAGGGCTTACGATGTGACGGAGTGTGATATCATTCAGTGGCCTGAATCTGATACGTGGACGGTTTCAAATCGAAGCCACAAATCAGGTGTTTTCACAACGTAGTCCATCAGTAGTATTGGAAAGCATTAGTAAAAACGAAGTCTGTGTTCGTGAAACGGATATGATATATTTTTCATTTAATTGGTCTCACTCCAGATTAGAAACCACTGAGAACATAAATTTGGTTGTTATTTGTGATAGGAAGGTAGATTTTATCCGCAACGCCGGAAAAACTGTTGTTTTCACATGCAGTTCTGGGAAGGAATAGCTCCGTGTACGTCCTCGGTTTAGATAGCTCACACCCATAGGTTGATGGAAACTAATACGGCCAGTGATGGTTATTATCAGTAAGGGAAAGCCCTCCAAAAGTGCTATTCATCTCGATATGTGTTCCTTCAAAACCCCGTTATTTAGATCCCACGGTTGTGGCGGTTCTCTTTAGCAAAGTTCATGAGCTGGAAACCAACTGAGCTTTCTTTAACAGCCACCGATGATGATGAATGACATACTTAGTCCCCAGATAAACTTGAGTGCTCTAATTTTCTACGAGATTTATGGTAAGCTTATCATTTTTACTATTGTCTTTTAAACAACAACCAGTGAAATTTATTTATTATATTACTCACGCCTTAACTCAGCAGTTCAAGGAATGAAAGGAATATTGTGTTGACAAACCCTTATATACAACAACCGAAAAAATGGCCTGTATCCTTTGGCTGAAAAGCGGCGATGAGATACTGGTAATAACGAATGCTGAATAACTTTTCTGAAATCGATTGATGGTAGTGTTTTTAAATTGTGACGTTTGAAAAGACAAGTTGTGCGGCCATCTTGCAGTTTGCTTTTACTTTGTCAAATATTATTACCTCATGGGAACGGTGACCACCCATTCAATAACTAAGAATAAAGGCATATCCGTCTATGACATCCAAATGGGAGAGGAAGTTCACTCATTTTTCTGAATTCTCAACTAACCGGTATCATTAATAAAGATAAAGAGAAGTTAATTTCCTTGACAGATGGCCCCGCCAACTTCATGTTCTATCAGAACATCGGATTTTACGCGACGGATTGTATATACACATTTGCAAGTTAAATTGGTGTTAAACGGTGATTCAGAAGAGTTAGTCACTCATTATATCTTTCGTGGAACGCGCTGCATAGAGAAAGTCTTATATTTGAATCAGCACAGCATTGGAGATTTCGAGGTAGACTATCTTTCCATATGAGCCGCAGGAAGGGTTAGGAGCTTGCATTGAGCTGCTAAAGGGATCTGAGCAACTTCAGGGTAGTGTGTTCTGTCAGGAGGATATGTTGCTACATATAATATATACTATATATTATATATACTATATAATATACTATTATCGTTTATTTTTGAAGAGCATGGTCACAAACATAAAAAGTGAGTGCAAGCGATGAATGCGAAAGAGTAGCAGGAGAATATGGGAGAAAAGTATTATGGTATAATTAATATAGTATGGTATACTTATACCAGTGTTATACATAATAAAGTATGTATAGAAAAATATGCTAAATATCAAGTATCGAGCATCTAGAACATGAGGCAACTTTCGTGCAACACACTGCGCCAAACATATGATAAACGCGAAGCTATATTTTTGGATCTGCAATCCAAGCTAGTGCCAGAAGTGGGAATGAAATCGACGGAGGAAAGTTTGTGGAGATAGAATTTACCGTTGTTCTGCGTTGTAATGCGAAAAAAATAATGACAAAGCGCGTTCTCTGTAGTTAGGAAAACTACGAAATTCGAAAACAAGAAAATGAATCATTAAGTGCAGAACATTAAGTGTGAGTTTTGTACTACGTAAAAACGTGGTCAAACTAGCCAAATATTTGCTCTTAGTATATTTGTAGCACAATTCCGGACCGATTCTCGTCTAGCCATGACGCCTTCAAGCTTGCCTGCATGTGACCAAAGGCTGATTGAGTTCCTCAGTTACTTGGATGAGGCACTGTTTACGGGGTCAATCCTGTGTTTGTTGAAAGCAGTCAGCGAACAGGTAAGCGAAATGTTAAGGTAAACTTCTGATGCAATTTCGAGACGTGAACGCATGGCTACATTATTTGCAAGGCTCTGCTACTCCGTACGCATTTGCACAATTGTTCTTCAGACGACTGCATTTGATTTTCGAGTTTTGAATTTACTAGGATTAAAAAGTAATTTGCGAATAAAATGTCACAATTTTTTGAGGTGCAAAAGTACTGGCCATTGCAGGTTCCAGACGAGTGATGAAGAATGAACCTGGGGGTACTTAGACCTTCGACTACAAAGGCATTCTCCTTCTCATAGAAACTCTGAAGCGACTGCTGGAAAAATGGCGTGGAATAAACTCTGGATATTCGGAAATATCGTAAAATTCGTCAGTCACTGCTAAAATCCAAACGACCAACAGCTTCTCTGTCCATTCGCTTTCAAATAAGGTGATCTTAAATATCCCCAGATAAAATTACACCTCAGAATTTATAAAGTGCTTTCCCCGTTAAGTGCGCTTATTGTTTTCAGTGGCTTGTGAATAAGTAGAATAGGTTTTTCAGGCTTACTGAGCGATTCAAACCAACTGTTTTGCAAGAGACCGTGTATTCTTTTGACCGCCACACTTCTACTTTGATCAGAGCTTAGTAGACGGCGCTTAATGCAGAAGTTGCTGATCATTTCATGAGTTATTGAAGGTGGAATTCAATGCATAGTCAAATACATAACTACACACTATCTAGTCGTTCACTCCAGCTAAGGTATTGATTAAGCCTAAGGCAAGAGCTGACCTCAAAAAGCCGCCCAAAGTTCAAATATATCTTAGATGCTAATAGGTTAAACTTCAAAGTCGTGGTGTGTTTTTACTCGACGTCCAACAATAGAGTGTGACGAGTATTTTACTGACCAAGTCTTGTAGCATAGGCACAAAGATTATTCGCCTCCGCGGAAGTGGATAGATCGATTAACAGTCGGACAAAAAAGGTGTATATAAGATATTTTCTCATGAGATAATGAATAGTGAAAATGACTTCCAACTTCGCCGGACCAAATGTTTTTTCAATCGTTTTGTTAACTCTTCTGGCCAGAATCCAGCTGGCTGGAACACCTTAGAAAGGGGAGCTTCAGTATGAAGATTTACGAGGTACGTTGCACGTAGCATGTTTGAAAGTTCTGGATCGCGGCTGTTTCTCCATAGGTATGCTTGGTAAAACATGCTCTCCAGAAATACTCATAAGGCACTCTGTTTTCTCTGTCAGGATATTCTCCGAACAGATCTATCTAGCTCTAAAGTAGAAAAAACGTATAAGGTTTTGCACGATCCTCAGTGGATCGAAGCTAGTAAATTGTTTGCAGTGCATAATCCACGTGGGATTACGGGACATGGGCCGTCGAGGATGACCGTGGTGCATTTGATTCAATGAAACATCAACAAACGAGAACTGAATTTCTCGTCCTAGCTCACAAGCAATTAAAATATATGGGTGTGTTTCACTGAAAGCAGTCAAAATAGAACGTGATCCAAAAGGGTATCAGGAAAGTATCGCCGATATAACTGTCATCTTTTGTCATCTAATTAGTCACAGCGGTGTTCTCAAGTTTGTAGATAAATGTATCCGCAAGTAATGAACCAACTTGGTCACTGCGCATAACACTGGTGGACAGAAATTGAACATTCAACGTGCTCCATAAAATTAGTTCCCTTAAGTTTTCAAGTATCGGAATGGTTCAAATTTTTAAACTCTAAATGATGGCACAAATATTGCATACTCTATGCTAAAGGTAAGTTGGTAAAAAGTGATGAAGCACCCAGAGCTTGCATCCCGTTTAAAATTGTAATGTTTATGCCTCTGTCAAAAGCCACAGGTGTCCCGCAAGCTGAGCTCAACAACCAAGACGTGTTACGGTCGTTTTTCAGCCCAAGTTACCCTGACTCGACCAGACAGAAATACATCGAAACTTTTACTTTCACTCATACCACGACCAAATTGTTCGCAGACAGTACGTTCTCCGGATAGAACCTGAGAGAAGCCGCTGTGCTACCCTTAGAAAAAGATGCTGCGGCCTCAGCAACTGCGTCTTAGGGTTTCCGTCCAAAGGTCGTAGCCGGTGATAGAGTTGAATCTATGCTACCCCAACGTAAACAGGCGATCATACATGTAGCCCAGCTGACGAGATCATCACTAGAGATGCTTACCATAAAGACGATGAACTGACTAACCCACCACCCGGATAGATGAAATCATCCCACCAGACAAATGCGTGTAAACAAATGTGTAGTGTTTCGGCGGCTAAATTCCACTAGGACAGTTGGTGCACCGCCCAGTTATCCAGTTTTTTGGCTCTAGTTTTCACCCTCACCAAGCAACGCCGAGTGAGCTCCATATCTGGACGAAACATCGATTTTGTCTAACTAACAGTTGGCTGCATTTCAGAATCGGAACTTGCACCGCCAGGAGTAAGGCGCCTGCCGACACAACCACGGCACAGGAATCTTAATACTGAAGTTTTGTTGCAGACTATGATATGCTGAATAAAATGGGTGCAGAACACCGAATAGAAGCGGGATTAAATTTATTTTAAACAATCGGGAATTTGTTTGGCAAAAAGGCTGTCTTATGATTGTCTGACGATTAAAACATTGACCACCAGAGTTCTTCAATGAAGCAGATCCAGAAGATGTACACAAAAGTTATCAGTGTGGTGGACTACCTAATTTTTATATGCTTCATAAGACATCTCACTCCATAAGGTATAGACTTATTCCAAAAGATGAAAACATAAGCTCTCTATCATCCATTAAGCATATCGGTACCAAACGCAACGAGCGGAATATTTAGGATAACCGTTGCAAAATAAAGTGATTCTGCGGGGAAGAAACACTGTACATTAGAAAGAAGGATTTGAAAAGCCCCCTGATTCTTGCAGGTAATTTTGACGTTTGTAATTCTTTAATGAAGCGTAAAAGCGCAGGTGGCCCTCGTGTTTATTTAAACTGACGTATCATAATGTTCTTCTCAGTGACAGTAATTCATTTGACTATTGACCCATTGGAGCATTTTGTGTGAATATGCACTATAAACTTAAGTACAATTGCTTTTGACAAAAAAAGTGAATCCCGATTAGGAGTTATTCGGTGGGCGATGAGCCGTTTGTGTTGATTTTGCTGGCTTTATACTGTAGTAGAAAGTTGGGACCGAAATCACCCTAAATGCAAAGGTTGTGGCTTCAGTTATTGTGGTCCTCACTAGAGGATCGCGTAAGATCATCTTCCAGCCATTCTTCTTGGGGCAATTAGGAGAAATCGATACTCATAGATTTAGCGAGTCAAACTTAAGGGCCATGAGAACTGCTTGGGAACTATCGCATGCTAGTGATTTTGTGCCGCTGTAACAAGCAATTCAGAAGACTCCAATCACATCCTTGAATCCGCGCCACTGAACATCTCCGCAAAATTAACTCGAAACATCGGTTCTTCTAAAATTATTCCGGTTAAATAAGTATCGATTATTCACGTTACACTCCTTTCGAATTTCCAAGTATGACGACCCAAAAAATATTTCATAGTCCGCATACATTGTCGATTCTATGTAGAAGTTTGTTTGGTCTTATCTCCAGAAACGAGTGCTCAATCATCTTTGATCAAAAAGCAGAAGTGATCCAGGAGAAATCAACCCAGTTTCGGATTATTCTAAATACTGCACCAAAATTCAATTTTTTCGACTACCATGTTGCAATTATGGTGTCACAAAGTTTGCAATATTTTCCATAGACGTATAATGCATTGGTTTTGAGTATATATACATGGCATACTATGTAAATACGTATAAGTATGTACACAGATAGAGGGTGAGGAAGGAAGCGTCATATAATCTCCAGTATTTTCCATAAACGTATAATGCATTGGTTTTGAGTATATATACATGGCATACTATGTAAATACGTATAAGTATGTACACAGATAGAGGGTGAGGAAGGAAGCGTCATATAATCTCCAGAAAGCCAGCTCTTCCCTCACCCCAAATCGTAAGAAAGAAATACAGAGGAATAGTTAGCCGGCACAAGCGGTCGATCAATCAGCGATTTAGTTCGATTTTGCTTCAGTAAGGACTCAGATCTCGGGTGGTTTCTTCTGCCGACGTCTTATTCATTGTTTCGTTTGTTTCAGCTCCTAGTCGGATACCCCGCTGTTTCATTTATCTATCGATCCGTTTGGAAAGTCGGTTTGTCACCACATATCATATGCTGGATTACCAGGGCCTATGACAAGAACTTATGGTTTTCTCACAGACTACACCTTATCATTGCCGTATCGGGTTACTTCGTAAACTCAGCGGTGTGTAAACAGAAGTAGATTTATAAAGGAAACTACTCACAAGGTTGCTGAAGTAGGTTTAGGCTAACAGCTTTACCAGCCTGTATTTTCTATTGGGGTCCTGAAAACTCGGTCGACCCAGTCAAAACGTTGAATTAGGGTGCCCTGGCGTCAGGATCCGTCTACATCGCTGAGGCACCTACCCCATTTTTGCCTTTAGTGGTAACTAACTGGTTGCTATCAATTATTTTTTTCAGTTCTTGGTGAGTTTAAAACGTGACTGAATAGCATAAAACGAACGCCATCTGACTTCTGGGATGAATGAAAATCAAAGGCTTCGTTTGGAATTACCCTCAAGTCTAACCGCAACAGTAAAAGTCCCAAGTATTCTTAAAAAGAAAACAGTCATTGTTCTCACTCATGCATATCCTTAGGCATACATACATTCCTTAGACAAGCTGATAATCGGTGCCAAACAGATTACCATCAGCAGTCAGTAAATATTTGTGCTTAGGTTGATTTAATACCCCACCCGAACCCTATGAGTAGTGTGTTCCGTCTAAACAATGTACTGCGATATCCCAAATATCATCCCAACTGAAGTATGAGGTGATCTTCGTGCAACATGTGAGGTTTTAGAATATCANNTTCAGCAGGGTTCAGTATATTCTCCCTTCAGAACCACGTTAGTTTCCAAATGAATGTACTTCTCAAACTGTATTCAATTTGAGTTCAAGTACAAAGTGGTATGTTTAACTCATGCCCAACTCATGAGTCCGAATAAGGGTAAAACTATGGTGTTTGCCTTATGAGTTGGGTGTTTCATCCATTTAAACCCACTTCCGGAAATGAAAACAAAGATGATTTTGTCTGTCTAGCTTCATCTAACCATGTTGAACGTGAAATGTGCGGTGTCGCTTACCTTCAGTTCACTTCTGTGAGGAATGTTGCTGTCATCCAGGTTGGGCAGTCCGCCATCAAAAGCAAGTGAATCCTCTTCCAAATCCTGATTTACACGTCTTTTAATGAGTGAGGAGTGATTTTCCTCTTTCCCTTGTGCTAGGCTGTGTGACCTGTGACTGGNAGCTCCGACCACCTTCTCGGGTAAAGAACCTCACCGGGCACCAGATACGGATTGTGGTTTTCCACGTCGTCATATTGTCGGGTAAATATGATATGTTTTCTGGGTAATGCCCAATAGTCATGTACTTGTTTATCATATGGAATGTCACGGTAGAACAGCCAGTCTTGTCGTTGGTGCGATCGATGTTTTTTCGGCTTTTTTCGGTAATGACTGCGACTGGAGCCAACAGATCGAACGCTGTAATCGTAGTATTCTGTCCTTTTTTCATGTTTCTGTCTCACTAGCCGATCAGCTGGAGGTACGGTGTCTGAATGTACATCAGAGTTTTCACCGACAAAATCGTTTCTATCCACTTCTTTATGTGCATAATCTGGATGCCCTGACATTGTTGTTAGCTCAGGTCTTCAACAATGAGTTACAAGTCCCTCACACTAGATCCACAAAAAAATCCAGTCAAAATATTATAATGAGCGGTTGTCGGTAAGAAATTCCAACAGTTGGGCGTCTTGCAAATCGGCTGACATCAAGAAATTTGACTGCACACACATATAACCTGACTGATAACTGATAAATGCAATCTGGTGGAGACAGGGATTCAAAATTTTTCATTCAATCGTAAATTTCTCGTACGATTCACCAATCCAGATCAATGGTGTTAGTTTGTTGAGCACTCTCTATTCAGTCTTCTTATCCGTCACGTGACTGTATGCGTTAGAACTAGTTATATTTGAGGCGATTTTGTGTGTCTCGCCATTCATACAATTTCCGACCAGGAGTGGTGCAGACATACGAACTGCCATTTTTGTCATTGTTCTTGGTTTCGTTATACAATGGTCATGTAGATCCTAGTATTTTTTGATACTATTTGTTCCTAGCATCACTCACTATCACACATAAAAGTATTCACGCACACATACACTCACCATTCTGCGCAAATTGATCGATCTTTCGGTAAAGAATATTGACTGTATGTTATTTGCCACAATCATCATAGGCTTGGGTGTGGCCCACTCATCACATAAAATCAATTCGCTTTGTATCTCTTGTTATATCTGATCGGTTCTCTAATTTTGCAGGCAAGTATCCGTCACAAGTTTCCGTGGGGCGTTAGACCTAGAACTCGCCGCACTTCAAGCAGCCGATGAGTGCTAAACAGATCATTCCTTTCTGATTGTGTAGCCTGTCGGTGTCTAGCTGCAATGCCACCCGAAGGAAGCATAGGGGCTGAGATGCTGCTATGTTGTTCATGTTAAATAGCAGCAGCTGAGATGCAGGGGTTTGGGTCGAACCTTCTGATCAGTAAGTTCACGCTTTAACCATTAAGCTTTCTTGAGTTATCTCGCCTGTCAACAGATGACAACAATCAACCGTGACAATGAAACTCTGAAAACCCGAGATCTGTAGATGCCCATCTCACGCCAGTTTAAATCGAGTAAATACCATGTTAAACCAGTTGGTCAATAATCTATCCAGTCTGGATGAATACGACGTAGCTAAGGCCGGTACAATCGAAGCAAAACGGCACAACGTTCTTGCATCTTTAAAGGAGATAGCAATCCCATATGTACATTGAATGAGAAGCGGAAAAGGAAACAAAGATACCGTATTTCGTGAGGTAAGTTGGTCATCCAAAGATGAACGGTAGCCAACGGAATGCTCGATTATTGCGCTGAAATAGCATAGTCAGATGGGCTCCTTTGGACAAATTATAACAAACCAACTTTAATTTACACAGCTACTCACAAGACATCATTCGAAGCGTGCATCGCAGCGGTAATAGTGTGGGCCCCGTGACTAGTTCTGATAATCCCAAGCAACACAGCCTTCAAGCAAGACGTTTTCATCATCTTTTTCACCCCATGAAGCACAATAAGTGTAACGCCGCTTTGATAGGAGAGCCAAACTTGTAATCCAACCATATATCAGTGGAGCAATGTTTGTTTGGAACTTAGTGAGCGTATGCTGAAAGAGACTTGAGTTATTCACAATATGATGAACTGATTTTGAATGAAATGCATTAGCTGCGTATTGACTGAGCAAGGATTAATGAACAGAGAACTATTAGCGAGTACTGCAACAGCTTATGCGAGAAATTAATCTTTGACGAATTGGTCGCCTTGAAATACTTGTGCTTCGCATAATGGAAATTAATCAGTACGTACGAAATTCTGCATGCAGTTCTTTCTGAAAAATCATTTCAGATGTTTGGGCAATTCTAACAAAGCCGAATAAGCGGAATAGTGATCCCATAAAACAGCAAACCCCAAGAATGTGTTAAGAAATGAAATTTTAGAAGTGTACTTTTCGGAGCACNCTTTCCCTTGTGCTAGGTTGTGTGACCTGTGACTGGAGCTCCGACCACTAGACCTTCTCGGGTAAAGAACCTCACCGGGCACCAGATACGGATTGTGGTTTTCCACGTCGTCATATTGTCGGGTAAATATGTTCCGTCTTCTGGGTAATGCCCAATAGTCATGTACTTGTTTATCATATGGATTGTCACGGTAGAACAGCCAGTCTTGTCGTTGGTGCGATCGATGTTTTTTCGGCTTTTTTCGGTAATGACTGCGACTGGAGCCAACAGATCGAACGCTGTAATCGTAGTATTCTGTCCTTTTTTCATGTTTCTCTCTCACTAGCCGATCAGCTGGAGGTACGGTGTCTGAATGTACATCAGAGTTTTCACCGACAAAATCGTTTCTATCCACTTCTTTATGTGCATAATCTGGATGCCCTGACATTGTTGTTAGCTCAGGTCTTCAACAATGAGTTACAAGTCCCTCACACTAGATCCACAAAAAAATCCAGTCAAAATATTATAATGAGCGGTTGTCGGTAAGAAATTCCAACAGTTGGGCGTCTTGCAAATCGGCTGACATCAAGAAATTTGACTGCACACACATATAACCTGACTGATAACTGATAAATGCAATCTGGTGGAGACAGGGATTCAAAATTTTTCATTCAATCGTAAATTTCTCGTACGATTCACCAATCCAGATCAATGGTGTTAGTTTGTTGAGCACTCTCTATTCAGTCTTCTTATCCGTCACGTGACTGTATGCGTTAGAACTAGTTATATTTGAGGCGATTTTGTGTGTCTCGCCATTCATACAATTTCCGACCAGGAGTGGTGCAGACATACGAACTGCCATTTTTGTCATTGTTCTTGGTTTCGTTATACAATGGTCATGTAGATCCTAGTATTTTTTGATACTATTTGTTCCTAGCATCACTCACTATCACACATAAAAGTATTCACGCACACATACACTCACCATTCTGCGCAAATTGATCGATCTTTCGGTAAAGAATATTGACTGTATGTTATTTGCCACAATCATCATAGGCTTGGGTGTGGCCCACTCATCACATAAAATCAATTCGCTTTGTATCTCTTGTTATATCTGATCGGTTCTCTAATTTTGCAGGCAAGTATCCGTCACAAGTTTCCGTGGGGCGTTAGACCTAGAACTCGCCGCACTTCAAGCAGCCGATGAGTGCTAAACAGATCATTCCTTTCTGATTGTGTAGCCTGTCGGTGTCTAGCTGCAATGCCACCCGAAGGAAGCATAGGGGCTGAGATGCTGCTATGTTGTTCATGTTAAATAGCAGCAGCTGAGATGCAGGGGTTTGGGTCGAACCTTCTGATCAGTAAGTTCACGCTTTAACCATTAAGCTTTCTTGAGTTATCTCGCCTGTCAACAGATGACAACAATCAACCGTGACAATGAAACTCTGAAAACCCGAGATCTGTAGATGCCCATCTCACGCCAGTTTAAATCGAGTAAATACCATGTTAAACCAGTTGGTCAATAATCTATCCAGTCTGGATGAATACGACGTAGCTAAGGCCGGTACAATCGAAGCAAAACGGCACAACGTTCTTGCATCTTTAAAGGAGATAGCAATCCCATATGTACATTGAATGAGAAGCGGAAAACGAAACAAAGATACCGTATTTCGTGAGGTAAGTTGGTCATCCAAAGGTGAACGGTAGCCAACGGAATGCTCGATTATTGCGCTGAAATAGCATAGTCAGATGGGCTCCTTTGGACAAATTATAACAAACCAACTTTAATTTACACAGCTACTCACAAGACATCATTCGAAGCGTGCATCGCAGCGGTAATAGTGTGGGCCCCGTGACTAGTTCTGATAATCCCAAGCAACACGGCCTTCAAGCAAGACGTTTTCATCAATTTTTTCACCCCAGGAGGCACAATAAGTGTAACGCCGCTTTGATAGGAGAGCCAAACTTGTAATCCAACCATATATCAGTGGAGCAATGTTTGTTTGGAACTTAGTGAGCGTATGCTGAAAGAGACTTGAGTTATTCACAATATGATGAACTGATTTTGAATGAAATGCATTAGCTGCGTATTGACTGAGCAAGGATTAATGAACAGAGAACTATTAGCGAGTACTGCAACAGCTTATGCAAAAAATTAATCTTTGACGAATTGGTCGCCTTGAAATACTTGTGCTTCGCATAATGGAAATTAATCAGTACGTACGAAATTCTGCATGCAGTTCTTTCTGAAAAATCACTTCAGATGTTTGGGCAATTCTAACAAAGCCGAATAAGCGGAATAGTGATCCCATAAAACAGCAAACCCCAAGAATGTGTTAAGAAATGAAATTTTAGAAGTGTACTTTTCGGAGCACCAAACCTGCTTTGTGGAAAAACACTTTGTAAAAAAAGCACGAAGTCGGTCGCACCAGTAAATGTAAATTAATTCAGAAAACGCGGTGGAGAGGTCGAAACACTACGATTGTGCAAATGAATATATATGACTGGTTTTTTCGGACTTGGTCACGCTAAATCTGCCGGATTCAGTCAACGGAATGAGTTTTAAAAGAAGGCGTTTTTTTTTCAAAAATAACAGCATTCTACGGTCAAGTGTGGTGCGCTCCGAAACTTGTTTTGTGAAAAGGGGCGTTCCTGTATAAATTATCGATCGCTAAAGAGAAAAACCTAACCTAGGTTCCAGCCTACGAAATCTCCCTGAATAAGACAACCGACTGGCCAGACTAACTGTAAACCATTGAAAATTGTAATACTTGACAGTGATTAAACGGTTACTAACCATCTACTCTGATACGGTCTAATACTCAAGCACTGGCTGGCATGAAGCAAGAATAGGATGTGTCCAGCGCATCTACAGCGATGTGAAACCTCATAAGGCATCAAAACACGCATCTTAATATGACAGGATGCTTAGATATCCAACCGGTTAAATGGGCGCCGTTTGAAGGACCCCAATTTTCACGCATTTTGAGTGAACAGTTTCCGGAGAGTAAAAACGCTTGCGAGCAACCGTTGCAAATTAGAAGATTCGTTCAAAGATAAAAGCCCCAAACTCATTTGCTGAGTGTTACTGAAAAATTCTGATTCGTTATCAATGACAAGATATGGATCTCAGATTGAACCCTTCTGGATTGCAAGGCAGTGCAGCTAACTGCATTCTACCAACGAGCGTTTTGTAGCCCATAACTTATTACAAGTAGACATGGAAATATTTTTAATTTCAAGATTGAGGCTTGGGTTTTCTGCGAGCTCAGTGGATGGTACACAGTTCTATTATACTTAAACCAGATGCACTTAAAATGTATCTTATTTGTTTACTAGGTTTTCGTGTTATCTGAATGTGCCCATTTGAAATGAAGTGAGTTTTATTCTCTAAGTTGCACAGTCGACGCTAGGGATGCTTATGCAGTGGTCGCTTGCAAGATACCAAAATAACTTACTCATAATCTTCTATTCGTGCGTTAATTCTGAATGTTTGTTCCTTTCTCCTCAACGGGCCTGAGCAACGGGGTGTGCTTCAGAAGTTCCCGAACATTATGCGTTGTTTGTAGTCACGTACTTGCAGACGCTTAAGAGTGAATGAGGACCTCCCATTCATTCTACTTTGTCTGTTTTTCTTACTTGTGTGTTAACAAGGTGGACACTCGAAGGTCTCCAAAACTCCAGTGTTCACATTCCTCCGGGCGAGAAGCTTGTCGAACTTAAGTATGCTGACGAAAGTGTTCTCACTTCTTTTAGAAGGATGCCTGGAAGCACAAGCATTACCAAAGAAGATAACCAAGGTTATTCACTCTTTCTGCACATACTAGAAAGTCATAATGCAGGATGTGCGGTCTTTGAACATGCCAACGGGCCTGAGCAACGGGGTGTGCTTCAGAAGTTCCCGAACATTATGCGTTGTTTGTAGTCACGTACTTGCAGACGCTTAAGAGTGAATGAGGACCTCCCATTCATTCTACTTTGTCTGTTTTTCTTACTTGTGTGTTAACAAGGTGGACACTCGAAGGTCTCCAAAACTCCAGTGTTCACATTCCTCCGGGCGAGAAGCTTGTCGAACTTAAGTATGCTGACGAAAGTGTTCTCACTTCTTTTAGAAGGATGCCTGGAAGCACAAGCATTACCAAAGAAGATAACCAAGGTTATTCACTCTTTCTGCACATACTAGAAAGTCATAATGCAGGATGTGCGGTCTTTGAACATGCCTGTGAGAATTCAAGTGGGGACATTGAAAGTTATGGGACGTAGCATTAGCTCCGACGGTGGCATCATAAGGGCATCTCACCGAATCTCAGAGGACTCGTGTATCAGACTACGGTAGGGGCTGTGCTGTTGTAAAGCCGCGAAGGATGGCTACTTCGACAAGAGGATTTGATTACTGATATCCCAAAAGTATACTCAGGATCTGCTATGACTATCGGATTTACAATAAGATGATCCGGAAAAGATTTTTGGATAAGCAAAGGTTACTGTTGTCAAAGAAAGCACCAAGCATTGCAAGCAATGATGGCTGAGACAGGTATTACGTATATTAAGTTGTCGTCTGCCAAGACAAACCTTGTTTTCTGCACCTAATTCGGGTTGACTCAAACCCGAAGGTAGAAATTTCCGTGGTTAAAAGGAATGAAGAGTGTTACAAACTTTTTGGGAACTTTTGGTGCTGCTCGCCTACCAGAGGGATATCTACCTAATGCACCCTGTGTCTGTCCAAAAATACTGAACCATATGGCGGCTAACTGGCGTTCATGCTATTCGCATCCATCTGGATTGTTTTGCTGAGTGTAGAAGGTTATGCATCTCCAATGTTTGTCGTAGACTAGCCTCAGATCTCCCTCCCCATCACATTGCTGTCTTCTTTCCATTGTCAGGCTTTATTCATATAAATTGGCATGGTTATGAGGCAGTGAAGCATGAGTGTTCTCATCTGGTTTTGTTGTCAATATGATGTGTGAGGTATACACAACTACTTTACTCCCGTTGTTCCATAGACAGTGAAATAATAGGGTAACAAAGTCGACGGAAGAAGCAATCGTTTTTGGTTAAAGCCTGTTAAATCTCGAGTAGTTCCACTTCAGGGATCGTCCTACCATTACTCACCTTTTTCTTGTAAGGGATTTTGAACATCAAAATGAAGTGTATCAAGACATGTGAATTGTGCTTGTTGTATGGTATTTACACTCGAGTTAAAAGACAAGCAGGAGAAGATTGTTTAAACTTTACTATTCTGTCCTCGGGTTTGAGGTGCTCCACTGTGCATAACTGGGAAATAGTATGCCGACATTAGATCCACAGTCTTGAGTTAATGTCTCACAAGAAATTTCACTTCTGGGTGAAAAGCTGAAAGTCTGATTTTCCTCATGTCAGCAAACCTACTACCCAAATATGAACAGCACCAATTCTCAGACACGGGGAAACAAACTATAAAATTACAGAGTCACTCTTGTTATGGCTGGGGATGGGACGTGGTAACCGGTTGTTTCAGCGAATAGAAAATGAAAATGGTACTTTTATAACTGCATGTTGCTCACTGTTTGATGTCATTCCCCATGGTTTCCTGGCAGAACATCAACTCCAGTCGAGCCCCCCTTGGAAGGTGATGAATCCGGTACTATGTATGTTCGTAATGCACTGCTCATAATGTTGCTGACCGGTTTCGCCCTTCTTGGAGCTCACCAGCTGACTGCTGGTCTTCCGCTCGTCATCCACCTGG